TCGGTGATTTGCCGAGTATGCGCACGCCGCACACCTCAGTACTGTCGTCTGTGGGCGAGTGGGCGCCCGGTCAGGGGGGTGAATGGGATTCCACCACGGACGTAAATTGTTACGTCTCCGCCCTTAACGGTCGCCGCACCTACTATGGACGTCAAACCCCTTGAGACCCCACTTTTTGCGATAATATTTTAATGCGTGAACTCTCGTTGACGATATTCTGGCAACGTATGTTTCAGAGCCTGCCGAAACTTTTATTACTAAGGTATTTTGACGCCAAACGATTTTGAAAGGTACTTCTCATTCTTTCGTAATGCTAAGGTCAATTCAGGCCCGAGCAGAGGCTTGCGTTCGGCCATACTCGAGCCCCGCTACCAGCGCCATCTGCTCTTAATGTCATCTACCAGCGCCCGCTACCGCTACCAGCTACCGCCCACCGTCAAGCCTGGATGGAGCGCGAGCCGCGAGTGACCGGTCGCCGGGCAAGGAGCGCCGGAGGGGTAGGGCGGAGCATAGCGCTGACGTCATTACGTGGCTCCGCCCCATGAGCGCGTAGCCTCTACCCAAACAGCAGATTCTTTCCGTGAAATTTAACATTACGAGTAAATGAGAAGTACCTTTCATAATTGTTTGGCGTCAAAATACCTTTGTAATACCAGCTACGGCAGGTTCTGAAACACACATTTCCAGAATATCGTCAAGGAGAATTCACGCATTTAAAAATAATCGCAAAAAGTGGGGTCTCAAGTGGTTTGACGTCCAAAGCAGTTGTCTGCCGCGCTCTCTTTTCGTGACTACCGGTGGTTGGTAGCCCGGGATGCGGACAACGTTCTTGGAGGAGAGCTGGACCTCTTGTATGGCCATCACGTCCGCGCTGACCGACGGGAGCCAGCTTTAGAGCTCCGGGATTTTGGTCCGGAGCCCCTCAGCGTTCCAACCAACTATGTGGAGGAGACTACGCTGCGCTCGGTTGCGACGATGGCGACGGTTTCTTGCTCTCCTTCGATGCTGTCCTCTTCGGGCCGTAGAGGGCAGTTTGGGTCCGTTTGGATTCCCCCGCTGGTCGCCCCAGCGGGGGCGGACTCGAGGACCACACCTCCCACCGCGTGAAGGCGGACCCATCCGGGAAGCCCTTCTTGTGCCCGGCGAGCCCAACTGCCGGTTGAGGTGTCCCATTTTTATTGGATGCGCCCCCTTCTGCGGGCGGCGCCCCTCTTTTGCGGGGCTGTCCCTCTTCTGCTGGAGGCGCCCATCTTCTGGTGGCGGCGCCCCTCTTTTGGTGGAACCGCCCCTCTTCTGCGGGTGCGCACTCTTCTGCTATAGTGCCCCTCTTCTGCTCGGCCACACTGAAAACAATTTTACCCGAAGCTGGCGAATTAAGCGTTGCTCTGCGGGCATGGTATATGTGTATTAACTCGCCATGTCCAGATTCTAGCTAGAGGGTAAGCAGACATGCCTGCCTTATTACTCGTAAATATGCACCGTACCCACAGTCTGCAGTAAGGTAGCTACTCAGCACCGGATATTGTCCCCGCGAGTGTCGAGTCATTGACATAGCCCTCACTGAAAGAGTTAGAACTACTCGAAATATCGTAAACGCGTATCCGTGGATGGCGAACCTTTACATACCTGCCCTGCAGGAGTTGGATCTACTGGCACAACTAGATGGCGTTGTCTCATACAGTTTTGAATTACAGCAATTTTTTAACTTTTTTTTTGCACCAATGATATATTGGCACATTGTTTGGCGGTTTCAAGTGGGGGCGAAAGTACAATTGTTAGGATGCATCTTTAAAACCTCTGCATTATTCATCACGGGACGATTGGCAACGCCTTTTCTTCCGAAACTACCAAGTGAAACCATTTTGATTCTTATATAGGTCACGAAAGTAGTCGCGAGACATCTTCTTGATCTCGGGCGGTCTGTGCGACTACCGGTGACTGGGTCATGTCGAATTTTCTATGGGAATTCGATTTGACCGTTCCCACCGACGTGAAACTTTCTCACCGATGTTTTCTAGGTGTGAGATTGTCATAATATAGATAATTTCCCTCAAATATGGTACAGCGTGGGAGTTTTTTTGGCCCTCGTGACTTGGTCGGCGAAGGGTAGGCGTGGAGGGCAACCCCTTTTAGTCATGCCTGCTCTGAGCGGATATAACCGCTGAGGCAGATACGGCTACACTGCAATGGGACCTTACTGTACTCCTGGGAGGGTGGTTAAAAATGGTTGCGGATAGGGGTACCCGCGAAACACCGGTTTACTCGCCGGCCCTGGGTTAAACTGTTTTCAGTGCAGCTTAACTTCTGCTGAAGGTGCTCGGCTATGTCTGTTGGTGGCATTGTTCTTTTGCTCCAGGTGCCCCTTTTGTATTGAGGCGCCTCTCTTCTTTAGGCATCCCTCTCCTGGTATGGCGCCTCTTTCTGGTATGGCTCCCTTTTCTGCTGGGGCGGCCCTATGCTGGGGGTATTCCTCTTCTACAGGGGGGCGCCCTACTACTGCTGGACGAGCCCAACTTTTGCTTGAGGTGCCCCATTTATATTGGAGTTCCTCTCTTCTTCTGGAAGCATCCCTCTTCTGGTGGGGCGCCCTGTTTTTGCTTGGGAGCCATTCTTGTGCTGAGGGCGCTCCTTTTCTGCTGGAGGCATCTCTTCTGGTGGGGCGCCCCCTTTCTGCTGGGGTGCCCTTCTTCTGCTGGGGCGCCCTTGTTCTGGTGAGGCGCCCCTTTCTGCTGGGGTTGCCCGTGTGCCGTGTTCTACTGAGGGCGCTCTTCTACTGGGCGAACCCAAGTTCTTCTTGAGGTGTCTCATTCCTACTGGGGGCGCCTCTCCTCCGCTGTGGCGCCAGTCTTATGCTTGATGATCCCAACTTACGTTGGAGGTGCCCCACTTCTGCCGCGGGCGCTCCACTTTTGCTGAGATAGTCCCGTTCTTACCGGGGTGCCCCTTTCACCCATTTTTGGGGAACGATACGACTGGACGCTTCCCAAGCCCGCAAGCAGCACGACGCCGGTCACGAGACGGAATGTAGCCGGGAAATCACCCTCGCCATCTGCTCAAGGGCTTATCGGTGTCGGGCGGCGTGTGGGGCGCTGCTTAGCCTTTAACCCTATTCCTGGCGGGCTCCGCCGGGACAAGAAACTGGCGGGGGGCCGATTCGGCCCCCCTTCAGATCTCAAAAACTACACATCGCAGCGACAAACGGCGAACGGCGTTTGATAGGTCGTTTAAAGATCTACAACTTTTACATAAAACATTTTCAGGTCAGGTCAATATTGAGGTCACCAGAGGTCATCAACGATAATATGTTTTGGAATTAGTTACTTTATAACTTTTAAACTAATTAATATAGACATAAAATTACCACATTTTTTGTTGCTCTCGCCGAGGCGATGCGAAATAAGTATGTGATGACCTTCACAGGTCAATTTGAAATTTGACCTGAGGTCAAGGTCAGGTCATTCATCAATGAGGTTGTGGGGTATGGTCATGCTGCATACCAAACGACGCGCCTTGACCAGGCGAGCAGTTTGGTACCACTTACAAGTCTTTAGCACCATCATGTCGTGATTTATTTACAGAAAAAACGATTTATGACGTCACATGACCTCAGATGACCTTTGCCGGTGCCCCTGTCAATTAGCGGCACCAGGATCATCACCGATGAGATAATCTTCCATAATACTGAAAGAATTGGGTGGTTTTGACTCGTTTACACGAAGCAGGAGGCGTTTCAATATTTTCCCTTAGGCTTGCAATGTAAAGGTCACGAGTCTGGCCTGACCTCAGGTCACAGATATGAAAATTCTGAGATATACAAATTGCACATACTGGTACCCTAACTAAAGCCTGAAGAGAAGAAATTGATCGGTCAAAAACTCTAGCTCTGGCGTGATTGGAAACTTTTCTGAGGTAGGGTCACCAAACCGCCTCTGGTGACCTGACCTGAGGTCAGATCAACTCAAAATTTTCAGAAATATTGCGTAAAAGCCTTTTAGTAAAAGTCAGAAAATTTGAGCTTCCTAGCTCAAAGCGTTTGGGAGAAATAACCAAAAAACCTCAGGGGGGGGGGGGCTCCTGAGGCCCCCCCCCCCCCGCCAGGAATAGGGTTAAGGGGGTGCACTTTGACGTGATGGGGGTGCGCTTTCAGGGGTTTGGGGTGCATACATATAGAAAGTTCCACCGCTGGTCGCACACTGAAAGAAAAGTATACCTTAGTAATTTGAATTTGATTATTATACACCGCCATTACACTGAAATCAAGAATATTTATACCATTGTTCGATGTATATGAGGAATAAAATAATGCTCCAGTGCGAATGTACTCTATCACGAGCGTATTCTTGGGGGTTAATTCCATCCAGTTTAACACTCATGGTGCAATTCTAACTTTTGAGATGCTTACCCCTCTAATTGATCGAATCGACCCCCCCCCCCCTCCCTGCCAGGCCGCGTTATGAAAAATGCCCCACCAGGGCGAGGGTTAATTCTTCCAATAAAATTGCTAAGTTTTCTTTGAACTCTAGAAAAAACGACAATTTTTCATCGATTTCAGGAGCTGCAGGGGGGGGGGGGTGAATTTGCCCAAAATGCCCATCCTGGATCCTCCAGCGAGGTTTTGTGTTTTGGGTCGGATCCATCCAATTCCGAAACCGTGGCGGTTGTTTGGGGTGGTGTTGTTTGCGGTTGACTGCGGGGTGCGGAGACAAGGCGGGCGTTTTTCATTGTTTTTATTATTTTTACCTTGGTGTTTCTGTTGTCCTTGCTAGCGGCGGGCTTGCGGGCGTTTCTTTATATGTATTTATTTCAATTTCTAAGTCATTTTTCCTTTCTCTGAAACCTTCGGTCCGGCGATGCTCGGCATTGCATTGCCACTCCGTGTATGCAGCCAATGAACTCTGGCTAGGCTTAGCTCGTACCTCCCCTCCCCCCACATCTCAGAACAAACGGCTTCTTGTCGTCTGGTGCCACCCACTGACCTGTGGCCCTCTTCTGGCCAGCAGGTCGGAGCCCGCTGCTCCGGCTGACTGCCGGCTGACTGCCGCCTGACCCGCCGGAGCGGCCTCGCCCCAGCAGCGCTGTCCCGCCGGTGGTTTCCGGCGCCGCTCGGCAGCCAGTGCCCGGCCATGAGCGCGCCGCCGCCGCCGCCGCCGCCGCCGCGGCTGCTCGGCATGAACTGGGAGCAGCCGTTCGCCTGCGGCCGGCCTGGCAGCTGGCTGGCCATCGACCAGGCGTGTGTGGCGGTGGCCAACGGCGGCTGGGCGCCGCTGACGCTCTGGGCCCAGTCGGACCAGTGCCACGGCGTGAGTACCTACCCAGCGTGCCGCTCAGCGACGGCCACAACCACTGTCTTGTCCTGCCAACTAAGTGACACGCATCTGCCCCTCCCCCTAGCAAAAGGCTTTGACTTAACCCGCGCCCCGTATGGGGGGGGGGGGCGAAACGGCCCCCTGGGGCGTTCCACGACAAATCGACAAGTGCCCTGCACCCTCATATTTTATTTTTTGCTTAAAATTGGTCTAATGGGTTGTGATGGGCGGGGAAGCCAGCTGTGGCAAGGATTTTTTTCTTCGAACAATGGTTTCCGAGATATAGCCTCGAGCAATTCCTGGAGGTCGCGCTGCAGCCCTATGTTTGGCGGCCTATAACTCAGAAACTATTGGTTTTCTACGATAACAACTTTATATGGTTCAACTCACAATCACCAACAAACATTTTGGCTATCTCGGATTTTCAATTTTTGAAAATTTTGATCACGTGTCCTTTTGACCTATTTTTCGAAGAGTGACCTTGATATTTTCCCCACTGAAAGTTGCAATTTTGTCTGATGACGGTTAAAGCCTTATCAATTGTCATTCATATGCGACAATAAAAAGGTGGTTATCGCCCTGCGTTGACCTCAGGTCAGGTCATCTTTATGACCTGTCCATTATTACGAGCGGGAGCGACAGCGACATCTCGAGAACAAGGCAAGATAGCGACAAGCGGTAAACGGTACAGGGTACACACGGATAAGGTCTATAATTTTTACTGAGGTCATTTTCAGGTCAGGTCAAAGATGACGTCACAGGAGCAAAAAGGAAGTCAAAATAGCGGCACTACATATATATGAAGTTTTTCTCGAATAACTTTCAAGGTATCCCAGCTAGGAACAAACTAATAGCACCATCGTGATCCTCTCGTCGATCCGCATCGATATGTTTCGATGCGGATCGACGAGAGGTCACGACAACCTTAGGTCACGTGACCTAAGGTCAACTTTTGACCTTTCGACCTTTCGAGGTCAACATACATATGTTTCGATGCGGATCGACGAGAGGGTCACGATGGTGCTATTAGTTTGTTCCTAGCTGGGATACCTTGAAAGTTATTCGAGAAAAAAATCATATATATGTGGTGCCGCTATTTTGACTTCCTTTTTGCTCCTGTGACGTCATCTTTGGCCTGACTTGAAAATGACCTCAGTAAAAGTTATAGACCTTATCCGTGTGTACTCTGTACCGTTTACCGCTTGTCGCTATCTTGCTTTTGTTCTCGAGATCTCGCTGACGCTCCCGCTCGTAATAATGAAAAGGTCATAAAAATGACCTGACCTGAGGTGAACGCAGGGCGATAACCACTCTTTCATTATCGCATATGAATGACAATTGATAAGGTTTTAATCGTCATCAGACAAAACTTTAACTTTCAGTGGGGAAAATATCAAGGTCACTTCGAAAAATAGGTCAAAAGGTCACGTGATCAAAATTTTAAGAAATTGAAAATTTGAGATAGCCAAAATGTTTGTTGGTTGATTGTGAGCTGAACCATATAAAGTTTTATCATAGAAAACCAATAGTTTCTGAGTTATAAGCCGCCAAACATAGGGTTGCAGCGTGACCTCCAGGAATTGCCCGAGGCTATATCTCGGAAACCGTATTTCGAAGAAAAAAATCCTTGCCACAGCTGGCTTCCCCGCCCATCACACCAGTTTTCAACGAAGAATAAAATATGAGGGTGCAAATTTAATTTTTTATTTGTCGATTTGTCGTGGAACTTTTCCTTTTCCCTAGATATCTCCTAAACGGCTGCAGATATTGCCACCAAACTTTCAGGTCCCCTCCGGGCATCAATTTTACACAATGTAACCAAAATTTTCCAGAGGCTATGATAGGTTGGCCACAAATGACGTCAGAATTACGTCATGTTTTGCCATTTTCGACCCAAAAAGGTTTCGCGAGAAGAGCTGTCAGGCCTGCAGCTTTGAAAATGCAGAAACACGTTTTTGACATAAAAGATGTAGAATTGACAGCGCTATAAAACTGTCATCTCGAATTTGTATTTTTTTTTTGGATTTTGACTCAAAAATTAAAAAGGGATTTTTTTATATAAAAGCAAAAAAATCCAAAGGTTTTTGAATATCTAAAAAAAACGGAATATATATGATAGCACCTACCGTCTTCTATCGACATACCAAATTTCAGCTCGATACCCTTTTTTGGCCAAATTATACCGAAAGAACAGGAGTTTGTGTTTGTTTGTTTGTTTTGTTGGGTTAGGCCCTTTCGGTCGACAAGACCATTGCAGAGCCGGAAGGATGATAGGATTTAGGGGGAGACATTGGTCTGGGCAGGCACCCTAGTGAGTCGCCGGGGCTGAGCCCGTCCAGAGGACAGGCCACCCAGTCCCAAGGCACTCACTGCACCCGGCTACGGAGTGCGCTCCCTCAGGAGCAGCGGTGCCGCTCCAAGGGAGCAGCCCGCATGAGATAAAGTTGCCTGTCCAGCCCGGAAGGGGGTTGCGGCGTGGAGGAGAAGGATTTCAGTATCCTGAGGATAGAAGCATGGAAAGGTGAGGAGTTTGTGTTCTGTTTAGGGAAGATAAGAGCAATTATTGAAGAGTTTGACTCTCCACTCGTCTATATACTTGGAGATTACAACGCTGATCTGGTTAAACTTACGGCCTTTGGCAGAGAGCTTCGATGTTTTTGCGATGACTAGTTTGATTGTAGCGGACGACTTACTTCTTGACAGAAATTCCGTTACTCATGTCAATGATGGGCATGCCTCAGAATCATGGCTTGATCATGTTGTATGTACTTCAAGTGCTTACGATCTTGTTCAGCAAATTATTATCTCTGGTGACATTCATGGCTCTGATCATTTTCCCATGACCGTAACGCTTGCGACCCCTGATCCTGGACATGTGACAGCTCCTAACGAAGAGGTTGGGAGCACTAAATGGGTTGTGGATTGGTCGTCTCTTGACGAACATAGTATAGCGATGTACCGCAGTTGTGTCGAGGAATTTCTCCAGGACGTAGACGTACCGTACCATGTCCTTGATTGCACAGACGCTGCTTGTAGAAGGCACTCAGATGAGATAGACAAATACTACCAGAGCATAATGGCATGCCTGCGCGAGTCTTCACGCCGAAGCATTGCCAAGGCGGTAACAGGGAATGGCAAGGCCATCCCAGGGTGGAATGACTTTGTCAAAGAAGCCAACTCAGTTCTCGGGGACATATACTGTCTGTGGGCGTTGGTAGGTAAACCAAGAGATGGCTACATCTATGATCAATTGAGACTGGCTAAAGCTCGATTCAAGTATTCATTGCGTTGGTGCCTTAGGAACGAAAAAGATCTACGGGCTAAGTCGATGGCCGATAAGCTAGCCAGGTATCCACGAAATGTATCCTCTTTTTGGAATGAAGTTAGAAGGCTCAACAGTTCGCCACCGCTATCATCTACGGTTGGTGGCGTCACTGGTGCTTCTAATATTGGTGAAATGTGGAAGAACCATTTTGCTGAAATACTTTATTCAGTAACGGGCCAAAGCTTAACCCGCGCCCTGCTGGGGGGGGGGGGGGATGTTTGAACACCCCCCCTTGTGGTTTTTCGCAAATATCTCAAAAACGGCGGCTTATCATACATCAATTCTACACATGTTGTGAAAATTTCAGACCAAGGTCATTCAAGGTCAGGTCACCAGGTCACTTGAAGTGACCTCACCTCATAAAAAGTTTCAATGTCTGTCATAGCTACACCGAGTGACCGATCGCTTTGAAACTTTCAGCGATTGCTAAGAGCAATAGCATGTACAAAATGTATATCTCAGAATTTTGATATCGATGACCTAAGGTCAGGTCAATTTTGCGACCTCCCCATTATAAGTCAATGGGAGAAAATTGAAATGCGCATCCTTTGGACGAAAGACATTATAAACCCTCCCAAACACTGAATTACAAGTGGTTTAGACACACTGAACATGAAAATGGTGTCCGTGACCCCTGATTATGCCCTGAGGTCATCTTAGGTCACGAATGGTATCTAACAGTTTTTCGCAAATAACTTTTGATAGAGGCATGCTAGAGCGATGAAAATGCCTTAGATGTATTCAGCTCGACGATACGGATCGACTGATATGCAACATGACCCTTTCCGGTCAGGTCATGACCTTGACCTGAGGTCAAATTTTCAAGTTGACCATTCAAGGTCAAGTTATAGTTCATTCGATGCGTCTTGACGAGAGGAACACAATGCCGGTAAAAGTAAGCTCGTACAATGCTTGGGTCAAAAGTTATTGCAGAAAAACTGTTTCCGAAAAAATCGGCTATTTTTGCAGTTTTTGCCCTCTGCAGGCAAAACCGTTGACGTTAGGTCAAATCTGAGAGAATTACTCAGAAAGGGCGTTAATAGGGCTATCGAATGCGCTTTTCCGCGGTGCTGTAGCTCTATTGGTTCCCGAGTTATGCGTTGGCTTCTTGGAAATTTTCGACATTCGACCTGGAAATCGGCGAAATTTTGCCTTCAATGACATCTGGTGACCTGACCTTTGACCTGACCAAGAAATTGACCGAGGTGATTTCGTCATTATTTTTGACGCTCTTTCGAACGCCGCCTTCCGCGTATCGCTACGTGGCCCAGGAGCCGAGTTAGAAGGGGGGGGGGTGTTCAAACACCCCCCCCCCAGCAGGGCGTGGAAATCCAGGACCCCCAGCCGGGCGCGGGTTAAGGCCTTCCGTACTGTCACAGCTTGATGCTGACCTTCCTGATATCCCACTTATTTCGGTTGCTGAAGTTTCCAGATCGATACGTGATCTGTCATCAGGTCGTAGCCCAGGGCACGACGACCTACAGACGGAGCATTTAAAGTTCGCACCTCAATCATGTGTTGTTCACCTCTCGCTATGTTTCAGTATGATGGTAAAGCACGGGCATCTGCCTCATGCCCTTACTAAAGTTGTATTGGTCCCAATCGTGAAGGATAAAACTGGTAATATCTCGGAGAAGGACAACTACAGACCAATTGCTTTGGCCAGTGTTAGCTCTAAACTTCTAGAGACGTTGATCTTTATGCGCTGTAAGGAGAACCTAAAAACAACTGACCATCAATTTGGTTTTCAGCCAGCTCATGGTACTATGGCAATATATGCAGTCAAAGAAATTTCAGATTATTACCTTAGAAACAATAGTGCCGTGTATGTTTGTTTTCTGGATGCATCAAAAGCTTTTGATAGAGTGAATCACTGGAAACTCTATGACAAACTTTTAAAGCGTGGAATTGATAAAAGCCTCGTTAAACTTCTAGTTGAATGGTACGGTACTCAGCTTTTCACGTCAAATGGGGTGGTGTCACAACTGGCGGTTTTAATGTAAGTAACGGCGTGAGGCAGGGAGGTATACTTTCCCCCTTCATGTTCAATGTGTATATAGACTCTCTTTCTTCAGCACTGGGTGAAACTGGCGTTGGCTGCCGTTATTTAGGCAGCATGAATCACATTGCTTATGCTGATGATGTCATCCTTCTTTCGCCATCTCACCATGGCTTGCAAGTGCTCTTGAATACTTGCGAACGATTTGCAGAGGAGTATGATATCAAGTACAACACAAAGAAAACTGTATGCTTGATTATGCGTCCAAAGGCTTTGAAAAATCTTAAAACTCCTGAGCTGTCTCTTTGTGGCACAATATTAAGAGTTGTAAGTGAGTACAAATATCTTGGTTACTTCATGACTGACAATGTGCGTGATGATCTTGAGATTCAGCAGCAATATCGTATGCTGTGCTGTAGAACCAATTCGCTCATTCGCAAATTAGGCATGTGTACGTATGCTGTGAAAAAGTATTTATTCACGACCTACTGTGCTTCTATGTACTGTGTTCACTTGTGGCGTGCTTATAGTGCTGCGGTTATAAGAAAATTCAAAGTGTGTCTTAACAATGCTGTCAGAATATTCTTTGGCTACTCCAGGTTCTATAGCGCTTCGTCTATGCATGTGTGTGAAGGATTAGATAATTTTGACGTGATGTACCGAAAAGCAGCATGGGGTTTCATGCAGCGTTTAGATGCATCCACCAACGCGATCATCAATGTCCTGGTTGACAGTGACATACGCCGGCGATCACCGCTAAGAGCGGCATGGAATGATGCTCTGGGAGTGCCATGAATCTTCATGTTATGTAGCATTGGACTAAGTGTCTGTAAATACAAAGTTCTCTCTCTCTCTCTCTCTCTCTCTCTCTCTCTCTCTCTCTCTCTCTCTCTCTCTCTCTCTCTCTCTCTCTCTCTCTCTCTCTCTCTCTCCTCTCTCTCTCTCTCTCCTCTCTCTCTCTCTCTCTCTCTCTCTCTCTCTCTCTCTCTCTCTCTCTCTCTCTCCTCTCTCTCTCTCTCTCTCTCTCTCTCTCTCTCTCTCTCTCTCTCTCTCTCTCTCTCTCTCTCTCTCTCTCTCTCTCTCTCTCTCTCTCTCTCTCTCTCTCTCTCTCTCTCTCTCTCTCTCTCTCTCTCTCTCTCTCTCTCTCTCTCTCTCTCTCTCTCTCTCTCTCTCTCTCTCTCTCTCTCTCTCTCTCTCTCTCTCTCTCTCTCTCTCTCTCTCTCTCTCTCTCTCCTCTCTCTCTCTCTCTCTCTCTCTCTCTCTCTCTCTCTCTCTCTCTCTCTCTCTCTCTCTCTCTCTCTCTCTCTCTCTCTCTCTCTCTCTCTCTCTCTCTCTCTCTCTCTCTCTCTCTCTCTCTCTCTCTCTCTCTCTCTCTCTCTCTCTCTCTCTCTCTCTCTCTCTCTCTCTCTCTCTCTCTCTCTCTCTCTCTCTCTCTCTCTCTCTCTCTCTCTCTCTCTCTCTCTCTCTCTCTCTCTCTCTCTCTCTCTCTCTCTCTCTCTCTCTCTCTCTCTCTCTCTCTCTCTCTCTCTCTCTCTCTCTCTCTCTCTCTCTCTCTCTCTCTCTCTCTCTCTCTCTCTCTCTCTCTCTCTCTCTCTCTCTCTCTCTCTCTCTCTCTCTCTCTCTCTCTCTCTCTCTCTCTCTCTCTCTCTCTCTCTCTCTCTCTCTCTCTCTCTCTCTCTCTCTCTCTCTCTCTCTCTCTCTCTCTCTCTCTCTCTCTCTCCTCTCTCTCTCTCTCTCTCTCTCTCTCTCTCTCTCTCTCTCTCTCTCTCTCTCTCTCTCTCTCTCTCTCCTCTCTCTCTCTCTCTCTCTCTCTCTCTCTCCTCTCTCTCTCTCTCTCTCTCTCTCTCTCTCTCTCTCTCTCTCTCTCTCTCTCTCTCTCTCTCTCTCTCTCTCTCTCTCTCTCTCTCTCTCTCTCTCTCTCTCTCTCTCTCTCTCTCTCTCTCTCTCTCTCTCTCTCTCTCTCTCTCTCTCTCTCTCTCTCTCTCTCTCTCTCTCTCTCTCTCTCTCTCTCTCTCTCTCTCTCTCTCTCTCTCTCTCTCTCTCTCTCTCTCTCTCTCTCTCTCTCTCTCTCTCTCTAAGGTAATGATGCTTGCCTACCGGGGATAAGGAAATAGCTTTCGCATGAATAGATTGCAAGCAATAGTAAATAAAATATTTTTAGGTTAAGTGGTTCTGCATCAGTATCAGATACATTACCACTTAACCTGAAATATTTGATTTAGGTACTATTGCCTGTAATCTCTCGTAAGACATTGCCTTCGGCACTGCACTGCTTCACATTGAGTTGGCTCCGTGTTTTTTACATCATGACGTCACTTTCAGTGACCATTCAATCCCTAGACATTGTGAACTCTGGCTCGCCGCCCATTCAAGCCACTGGCCATTTCGATGGCTGGATTCATCGTGCCCTGGACATTATGAACCCTGGCCTAAATGATACGCACCTATTCAAGGCACTGGCCCTTTTCCAACACTGGACAAATCGTGCCCTGGACATTATGGACGCTGGCCTAATGAATATGCACCTGTCCCTCTTTTGGACAGTGTGAACACTGGCCTCTTCGAATATACCCTACCTGCAGCCAATTGGCCGCACTTGGACCATGCGATCCCTGGACATTATGTACTCTGCTCATTCAAGGCACTGGCCATTTCGACACTGGGCATATCGTACCCTGGACATTATGAACCCTGGCCAGAATGAATGCCCCCCTCGGCGACATTCGCTGACCACTGTGCTGTGACCTGGGTCTGTGCGCTGACCGCTGTGCTGTGAGCTGGGTCTGTGCGCTGACCGCTGTGCTGTGAGCTGGGTCTGTGCGCTGACCACTGTGCTGTGAGCTGGGTCTGTGCGCTGACCACTGTGCTGTGAGCTGGGTCTGTGCGCTGACCGCTGTGCTGTGAGCTGGGTCTGTGCGCTGACCGCTGTGCTGTGAGCTGGGTCTGTGCGCTGACCACTGTGCTGTGAGCTGGGTCTGTGCGCTGACCGCTGTGCTGTGAGCTGGGTCTGTGCACTGACCACTGTGCTGTGAGCTGGGTCTGTGCGCTGACCGCTGTGCTGTGAGCTGGGTCTGTGCGCTGACCGCTGTCTGCCCTGGCCTGCAGTGCGACTCGTGGCCGGTGATGCGGGTGCCTGCGCTGGCGTTCGGCGTACATAGCGTCAACACCACGTACGGCACGCGGCTGTCGCTGCGGAACGACAATGGCACCTCCGTGTGCAGGTGAGGACGCCGCTCCGACACAGCGCACGCACCACCCGCTGGACACAACGTCAGCGTCTGACATACTATCTTATCTTCTCTTATCCTCGAGGTAATCGCTTCTAACTCACATTCTGCCTTATGTAGACGATATAGCATCAAACGTTTCACGTCTTAACCCGCGCCGGGCCGGTGCTCCGCGCCTTCCGCGCCGGGCCGGGGGGTGTCTGAACATCTCCCCGTCTAACTCGGCTCCTAGGCCACGTAGCGACTCGCGGTAAGCGGCATTCGAAAAAGCGTCAAAAATAATGACGGAAACACCTCGGTCATTTTTGGGTCAGGTCAAAGGTCAGGTCTCCAGAGGTCATCAAAGGTCAAAGGTCCATTTCAACAATTTTGGAAACTGCCAAGGGCTAACTCGGGAACCAATTGAGCTACAGCGCCGCGGAAAAGCGCATTCGATAGCCCTTTTACAGACCTTTCTGAGCAATGTTCTCAGATTTGACCTGAGGTCAATGGTTTAGACTCCAGAGGTCAAAAACTGTAAAAATAGCAGTTTTCACGAAAATGGTGTTTCATCAATAACTTTTGGCTCAAGAGAGCCACGACATTACTTTTGGCAGCATCGTGTTCCTCTTGTTGACACGCGTCGAATGAACTATTTGTTGATATTGAAAGGTCATTTGGAAAATTTGACCTTAGGTCAAAGTACCTGACCGGAAAGGGTCATGTTGCATATCAGTCGATCCGTAACGTCGAGCTGAATACATCTGACGTGCTTTCATCGCCCTAGCACGTCTTTACCAAAAGTTACAGCAAAAAAACTGCTGGTGACCGTTTATGACCTGAGATGACATCAGGGGCACAAAGAGGGGTCACAGGTGCATTTTTCCGATTCAATGTGTCATGTTTACCTATGAATCGATGTTTGAAAGGGTTTTCAACATCATTCGTCCAAAAGAGGCGCATTTCAATTTTCTCCCATTGACTTATAATGGAGAGGTCGCAAAATTACCTGACCTTAGGTCACCGATATCAAAATTCCGAGATAAACATTTTGTACATACTGTTACTCTTATCAATCACTGAAAGTTTCAAGGCGATCGTCAGTCGGTGTAGCTATGGCGAGGATTGAAGCTTTTTCTGAGGTGAGCCGTGAGGTCACTTGAACTGACATGGTGACCTGACCTTGAGAGCCCTGGGTCTGAAATTTTTCACAACACGTATGGAAAAGATGCAGGAACAGGTGTGCCAAAAACGGCGGCGCGGAGCGACGCCGTTTTTGAGATACAGTCATACATGACAGTCATGCACGAAGACTGGACTGTGTGTGACTGTCGGATCTGTGTCACAGACTGGACTGTGTGTGACTGTCGGATCTGTGTCACAGACTGGACTGTGTGTGACTGTCGGATCTGTGTCCCAGACTGGACTGTGTGTGACTGTCGGATCTGTGTCCCAGACTGGACTGTGTGTGACTGTCGGATCTGTGTCACAGACTGGACTGTGTGTGACTGTCGGATCTGTGTCACAGACTGGACTGTGTGTGACTGTCGGATCTGTGTCACAGACTGGACTGTGTGTGACTGTCGGATCTGTGTCACAGACTGGACTGTGTGTGACTGTCGGATCTGTGTCACAGACTGGACTGTGTGTGACTGTCGGATCTGTGTCACAGACTGGACTGTGTGTGACTGTCGGATCTGTGTCACAGACTGGACTGTGTGTGACTGTCGGATCTGTGTCACAGACTGGACTGTGTGTGACTGTCGGATCTGTGTCACAGACTGGACTGTGTGTGACTGTCGGATCTGTGTCACAGACTGGATTGTGTGTGACTGTCGGATCTGTGTCACAGACTGGATTGTGTGTGACTGTCGGATCTGTGTCACAGACTGGACTGTGTGTGACTGTCGGATCTGTGTCACAGACTGGACTGTGTGTGACTGTCGGATCTGTGTCACAGACTGGACTGTGTGTGACTGTCGGATCTGTGTCACAGACTGGAGTACCATTTCGGCGAGTTCGGCTGGTACCAGCTGTCGCCGCCCAAGCACAGCGGTTCTCAGCGCTGCTCACTGGCCGTCGTCACCGAGCCAGCCAATATATACGCCCGTGAGTATCGGAACCTGTGAGAGAGAGAGAGGCGGCATGACACTACTACTGCGGGGTCAGCCTCAATGCTCTAAGCAGTACACACTGTATTGTCAAACAGAGCTACAACACGGCGATGTGGTGGCTCCGGTTTTCTGCCCCTATGCTAGAACCGATTGACTGCGTTCCGGCGCTGACCGGGGTCAGAAGGAAAAACCAAACAATCGATAAACTATCTGGCTCACACATCCAGGCTCCCAACATGCTTGTGAGGTGGTCGAATTAATAGTAAACTGTAATATTTGAGCATATATTTCCATGTTGTTGACTCCATATAATGTACCCAACGCGATCGCAGCGACATCTATGAAAGCTACAGTACAAATGCCGGCCAGCAAACAAGAAGCACTTTCTTTCTGCTTATTACTGGCATGCCACTTCCAAAATTAGGGCAGAAATACATAAGAATGTCATAGTCAAGCTGTTGAAGTGCAAAAAAGTGTCTATATCAAAATAATTTGCTTGATTAAAGAAGCCATCAATTAGTTGCACATTGACAGGGTGGGCCGTTTCGGCCCCTCCTGTAGAATCAAAGGTGTAGAATCAACAGGGCTACAACAGGGCTACAAAACTGCTATCTCGGATTTTTGAAATGTTTGAGTTTTGACCCCAAAAAATAAAAAAGCATTGTTTTGGATATATTAGCCAAAAAATCCAAAAAGTTTTTTGAGTTTCGAAAAAATAGTACCCACCGTTTTCTATCTACATACCAAATTTCAGAAAGATATCTCGTTTTTTTGGCGAAGTTATAGCAAAAAACTTCAAAATGACGACGTAAAATTTTCAAACTCAATTTTTGGCAATTCTAGACGACGTAGGGCAAAACAAAGACCACCATTAGACCCCCCGTGACGAGCTGCATCGAATCGATACCCATTTTATGCAAAAATATCAATTTTGAAATTTGACCTAATTTGACCTGACCTTGACCAAAACGTGACCTAAGCTGGCCCCAAAGGCTCCCTGACCCACACAATCGCATTTGCCATGTAAAATGGACCATAAACATGTATCACACGACACTTTCATATTGTGACCCCCCAGTGACCTGACCTCTGTGACCTGACCTGGTATCAGTGGCCTCAGATAGTCAAGTATGTGTTTGACGAACAATGTACCATCGATGGTTTTTAAAGGGACACTCCCACCTTAACATTAGTTTTGAGTTGACATAGCCAAATTGGTGGCCATGGCCTGCAAATACCGGTTTGGGCACTCACAACATCGAAAAATGCTTTAATTCGAAGATATGGAATTTCAAACTTGCAGTTTTCGGATTCTAAGGGGCTAATGCATTGGAATGCCCCCTAAGAATTTGTGACGTCAGCGGAGATCTAATGATTTTTAAATCTTAGACTAAAACCATCGTTAACACGTGGTGGTATACGCTGCTTTGCGCGCAACGTCTGCCGCACTTTAAGGCTGCCAAATTATTGCTTCCAAATAAAGTCGCTAGTAACAGGGGAGATCCCAAAAAGTAAACAAAAGTAAAATCTTGAAAACCAGTGAATATTTTTCGGTGAAATTTGGTAGATATTCGTTTTCGCTCTTTCTGAACCAAGGGCCATCACTTTCATGCCAATTCATTAACTTTTTTGAAGGTGGGAGGGTCCCTTTAATAACTTACCAATTTACTCGATTTCACAACACATTTCTTGAAATGCCTGTGGACGGTGAAAATCCGACCTTTGACCTGACCTGTGACGTCATCGGTTTGACCTAGGTCAATGAAATTTGGTCACAAGGTAGTTCCCGGGTGGGGCTATCGAATGCCGTTTGAATTGTGAAAATCGGCCGGTAAATTTCCGATAATTTAGGGGTAGGGGGCGAAAGGCCCCCCCTGCGGGTGGTAGGGTCCGCCAATAGCCCTACGGGGCGCGGGTTTAAAGGAAATTTTCTTTACAGTTAAGGCCGGAACACAGCTTTTAAGCTCGCAAATCGCGTCTCGCTTCTCCCATTGCAATACATGGCATATTTTCAGCTCCCAACACGCAGGTCGTCTCGCTTTTACGCCGCGAAATCACGCCGGATCCCGCTCGGAAAACGCGAGCAAATCGCGAGCGAAACGCAAGCAAAATCAGTCCGGCGCGATTTGCAAGCTGAAAAGTTGAATCTGTTTCAACTTTTCAGCTTCTCTGCTCGCGAAATGCAAGCGTAATAGCGTCAGTAACCATGGAAACCAAATAAAGCACCTTGGCTTACGGCAATTTTAACTAAATACCGGCGTGGTCTCCTGCTTTCAGCACATCGGTATTCATTTGATTGACAATTTTATACGTAAAATGTACCTATTAAATTCTTTAGTTTTTATGTTTCGATGTTTAAAAAAATCCTAACACGTATGTTGTACTGCGGTCAACATAAAATGAGGAATCCGTGGATTTTTTTTTTCAAAAACCTCCCCTTCGTAATTTTCTTCAAAATCAGTAAAACATAAATTTGATTAGAAAATGGTAACTTTTACTTCCGTTCGAAAAAATTATATGCCTGGCATGTAAATTTCGGGCTGTAGACAAATTTTGACATTGTGGTCCCATTGCTTAGATGTTCAGCGTTTTCAAGAGTAATTTCATCTATTTCCGTGAAACCACAACGACTTTGTAGACAAAACTTTTCAGAATGGCAATGCGGGGTAATTTTGCCGGTGTTAGTGGAACAGCTTTGACGGTGCTCTCAGGATCGCTATGCTGGAACGGCCGACTTGATAAGCAGTAGCGACGAAACACCTTCAATTAAGGGGGGGGAGGCACTGCCCATCCTTTCCATGCAACACCCATAGGGCTTATGTTAAAATGGCAAAATCAAGGGGGGCCGGTGCCCCCCCCTCCGTTCCCGGTTCCGCCACCTATGTAATGATAAGGTCGTCGTACCGAGCTGGTTGGGTTTATAGCCGTTGGCGGTGGCATTGCGGCACAGTCTGTCTCCTAGGCGCTCATCAAGACACAGCTCAAAGCAGCACGACGAAGTTGCTAGGGATCTGCTCAAACCAAACTGATAGTCACATCTCCAGCTAGTAAACACTATTAACAACTCGTTTGCAGACATCGGAGGCCTATGAGATGTGAGGATTTGAGACTGAGCTGAGTAGTTTCTTTGATTGCTAATAATTTTTTAATTGAAATTAGTCTATTATTTCCTTACTAGAATAAACAGTTAACGTTTTTCTCGCCACAAATAAAATGCAAATGTTTGATTAAGCAGTGTATGCTAAGGAAGCGCATTTTCAGTTGTGCAGGAAAATGCTGAAATAAGACCTGAGTCAAAATCATTGGAAGATAAGTCCGACATCAAGTCAGCCTAAAAATGCGGTAAAGGACACATGTCATTGATGGCGCTGAAGCTGACTTGCCCGTAACATAAAATCCAGGCCTCAAATCAACACCGGCCAAATTGCTCTACCCCACCGGCCAAATAACCCTGCTAGGGGGGCAATTTAGCCGCTTTGCAGACCTTTGTAGAACGACAAAATTCAAGCATAAGTAGTTGCTCTATCATTTTCAGCTTGCTGTATAAGAAAGTAAAATGAATGCTACACCTGCCAGCCTTGAGAGAGTGCAGAAGTATGTCGCCAATTTCGAGCTACAGCGGGGGCGCGGGTTAAACAGGGGCGCGGGTTAAACAATACTGCAATGTCATGTTAACCCTCGCCCGCACATGAGGGGGGAGGAGGAGGTTGCCATCCTCCCCCCCCCCCCCAGGTAGTTTTTCTGCTCTGCACTCAACATTTTTAGAGCTAGAAGCCTGGTTTCGTATAGCTGCTCCTCTATCCTTTCTTGATGTCCACTGAAGAATTTTAAGTTTCTGTGGTTTTTGGTTTCGGAGATATGACCTTGTTCCTCAGGTCATGTCATGACCCAAATGACAAATACCTAATATCTTGCGTTGGCTATGGGTCTTGTCAGCTTTTGACACCTTGATTTCGGCCTTTTTTGCCAGTCTTACCTTCCACCTATCATGGAACATGTTGTTCGACGATGTACAGATGTCAAGGTCAGGGTCAAGGTCAACCTATGTCATCTAAAATCATTGCGATTTAGGCAAGCTGAATTTACTTTTCGTGAAGTTTCTTTGACTGTATTTTTGGTAAAACCTTCTCATTTCATGATTTCATGTAATATGGACACAAACAATCGGTGCACACATCAGTATACACACATACACTCACAGACATGTAAACACATATAATTGACCTTGACCTAACTTGACCTGAATGACCTCAGCAGCAAAAACCTGGTCGGATAGTGTGACAAAGAGGTTCTAGCTGGCTTGGCACCACAAAACGGCATCGTCATCGGTACCTATATGATGAGCAGCGCACTTGATATCCAACGGTGACCCAAAACAGCAACATTTTTTAGTTTGACCTGACTTGGAAGGTCAATGACTGACCTGATAAGGTAAAACTGGGTATCATTGAATTTGTCTCTTCCCAAAGAATCTTTTTGGTCTCTACCGCGAAGCTTTATCTCCAACAGGAACGAAATGGCGCAGGAGGATGGCACCCCCCCCCCCATGTGCGTTCTAGGATGGGAAAATGGCATGTGCGGGCGAGGGTTAAGTATATCCTGTGACAGTGGCGGATCCAGGGGAGGGCAAATAGGGCATTTGCCCCTCCCAAACGGCAAAATTTTAACATTACGCCTATAGACGGTGCATGGAAAGAAACGCTGTTATGGTTTGCCGCTCCCAAAACTCTGAGCTGGGTCCGCCAGTGTCTTGTGATTTGCATAACGCAAAAGGAGAGACATGTAGTTTACTTACGGATGGTAATCGTTGGATTATTAGATTGAATGAATTGCTAGATTAGATTGAACGACAACAGTTTTTAGATTTGCAAGAGCGGTGATGTATTCGTTTGAAAAACTTCTGAACAACCGATTGTGACCATGATACGTGGCAAACAAATACTGACTAAAATACTAAAATTGACTGAACAAATTATAGTTAAGTTCCAATGTGGCATGATGAACTACCTGTGTGGCACGGCATCAACTGTTTTTAAGGAATTTCCTAACTGGGGGGGGGGGCTATTTATAGCCCCCTCCCGTTTTTCTGCAATAACTTCCAAACCGCTTGACGTATCGACGCCAAACTTTCAGTACCTTCGACTGCATCAATTTGACACCTTGTGTCAAAATTTGAACTTCGTACCTACCATAGCTCGGCCGGAAATGACGTCAGAGTGACGTCATGTTCGGCCGATTACGACGCAAAACATTGAACCACGGCAATCACTCCCAAGAGCTCAGTTTTTAAGCTAGATCCAATTTCTTTGCATGAGAGGACTCAAAATAGACTGCACTATCAAACTGCTATCTCGGATTTTCGAAATTTTGAAAATTTCGAAAATTTAATTTAATGAAATTCAAAATTTATATTTTTACATTTTTTCCAAAAATTTTTGACTTTTCGAAAAAAACGGAATATATATGATAGAACACATTATTATGACTAACTCTAGCAAGTTTTAGCTAAATATCTTCAAAAATGGCCAAGTTATACGCATTATTGCAAAAAATTAACAATTATTAATTTTTCAAATCAATTTTTCAGCACGAATGTGACATCGTACGCCAATATAAATAGCACCATCGTGTTCCTGAGCTCAAACTGCATCCAATAGACACCTTTTTTGTTTAAAAATTTTAACTTCAAAATTTGACCTTTTTTGACCTGAAAGTGACCTGACCTAAGCTAAATTTGACTCAAAATGACCTCAAATGACACAGACGACATCAAATTCGAGATGTTTGGCCTACATGGACCATAAAACATGTGTCACGTGACCGACGGATGATATAATATATCCGTGACCTGTGATGACCTGACCTTGACCTGAAAATCAAAGTACAAGTTTGGTACCCTCAGAGTATCTAAAGCATCTGTTCATGAGTGTGTGAACCAAAAATGAGCCTGATCTGACTTTTAAGACGGCGGCCAGAGCCCAAAACGTGAACAAGCCAAAATGCTAATAATTTTTACTTTGACCTGACCTGTGACGTCATCGGTGACCTCGAGGTCAATGAAATTAGGTTTCGCTCGACAGTTTTCCGGGGCTATCAGACGCCGTTTGAATTTTGAAGATCGGCCCAGTAGTTTCGGAGTTAGGAGGGGGGGCTATGAATAGCCCCCCCCCCCCCCAGTAGGGCGTGCGGTGTTACACGCAGACCCCAGTGGGGCGCGGGTTAACCTGTGCTGATTTTAATCAATGATCGAGGAGAACGTCATTTAAAATACCAAAGCTAAAAAAATTTCGTCCAAAGAACGCCGCATAAAATTTTATCATGAAACAGACGCATGGATATGCTAAGATGTCACGTGCAAAGGTCAAGTGTAATCAATAATCAACGCGTTTCAGCCGCGAGTTGGGAGCGCAAAGCGTTTTCCAAGCGGGACGCGTTTTCGACGCGAGTTGTGAGCTGAATTGCAAGTGAAAACACAGCGGACGAAGCGATTTCCGCGCTTGACGCGAGTTCGACGCGATTTGCAAGCGTGTGCTGTGTTCCGGCCTTTAGTCTTTAGAAACATCACTGCCAAATATTCGGGGACGTTCCGGTCCAGCCTTTACTAGCGACACAATCTACTGGGCACCATCAGGGGGGTACGGTTCTAGGGGAGAGTGGGGTAAGATGCCCAGGGTGGGAAAGACGCCCCACCCCCTCTACCGGCAAAACAAAAAACCAAACCTGGAAATTAATGTTCTTAGCGTAAAGCGGAAACCTTCCTTGTTTACTGCACAAAAATTAGCCAAGCTCAGTTGGGCAACGGTGGGCTGGTGGTTGGTTGTTTTATATGTGCTGCTTTCAAAAAATATTTTGGTGTCAAAACATTGTGAATATCAAAGAAATTGTAAAAAAAATTTTAAGTCCCTTGCTATTGTCGTGATAAACTTATGTGCGTGTACTTTGCCTCAACTAGTTTGTTTCAGTGGCCATTATTATAAAATAAAATCGAGACACTGGCTGCAAATAAAAATCGAGCCGAATAAAGCAGCCGGCTGCTTTTCTCATTATTTTAAAACTCACGCGCGCTTCATTTTTACGCATCTTCCGGCTCATTATTTGGCTGTGAAAAATGAGCCAAAAATGTATGATGTCATACTTCAAGTGCTTTATATATTCCATATTATGTGACTATGTGCATTATAATTTCTATTTTTAAAATCTTTGGTATACATTTATGCTTAATCTTTTGATAAAACATATTTGAAGACGTTTTCCGTGTCTTTTGTAAGAAAACTCACGTCACATTTAAAGGTGAATTGATGACAAAAGTTCTTGGGTTATCACAGCAACTGTGTTATGCCTGGTTCAAAACGTTGAACATTGTTCATACTTGGGGTTGAGTAATTTAGAGATGTATTTATGAATGAATCGTTCGAACAAGTTAATCGCTCAATTTATTAAAAAATAGCAAAGCTTTAGTTCTAAAAGAAGACATGCTTCGGTTAGGAAAATTGCATTTCAACCATCAGTTTCTGGGATTAAGCAAAAGGACAGCCAGATTCCATTGGGATATATATTTCGAACAAAAAGTAGTAGCACGAGAAAGCTTCAGCAACATGCATTACAATCGTTGACATTTTGTGTATTTGAAAGAGATCCGCATAACATGTCGGTTTTTTTTACCATATTCACGTCTAGCATTGAGCGAAAACCAATAAAGACGATAACCACAGGCTGATCCAGAAAGTCTCGGACGCGGCGGAGGGCATACGCCCAACTAATCGGATTTGGATTCCTTACGCACAGCTGTGTAGCTAAAGCAAATAGTCTTTTTCATACATTTTTTTTTCGATTTCTTTCTACAAAAAAAAAAAAAATCGTCGATTTCAGGCACTGTATACGGGCAATTGCCCCAAATGCCGGAAATTTGTCCCAAATTCCCTTCCTGTTTACATTTGCACAGCCACTCCATGTTCCATTGTGCTTTGCCGTTTTGACTTCTCGTTGACGGCTAAGCGAAATCCAGGGACACCAGTCATCGGACATCGACTTTGCACTGAACATCGTGACACCGTGGTAGCGCAGTCTGATTTTGCCGGACTCGGCTCGTCTAATAGGAAGGGTATACTAGCGACCCTGACGGGCCTAATGCTCATGTTGCTGCCTGGCTTTAGCTGCTAAAGTGCTGAGTTATAAATATGCTCTCGGACTGGTAGGTAACAAACAAGGACACGTTCCAACATCCACATTCCACACCATGTGAAAAGTGAATGACTGTTGCCCGTCGCACCACCATATCTGTTCCAAATGAGCTGGATATGTGGTCATGCCGGCGTTTGCCAGTTACCAGTTGGATACATAATCTCGCTTTTTGACACGAGCTCATGTGTTCAGTTTCCATTTCTACCGGTCTGGCGCAGAGATGCCTGGCGCTGTTTACCAAGCGGCGCGAGATGTTTCCGGCCGCAACCGGCGGGCGGCGCACTGCGTCGTCATCACCTTTTCTCCGCTACGCTTGCGCTAGCAAAAACATGACAGTGGTTCTGGGTCTATGTATTTACATGGCGGTCACCACTGCTTGTTTTTGGGTGAGGAGGAAACGCCGATACATAGCCGAAGCAGACAAACATTCCACATGTATCGAGATATGTGCGAGTTATTATGATGCAAGAACACAAAGTACCATTTCAGTTTGTTGTAACTTCTTCCGCGCGAAAACTGCCACATATATATATCTAGAGTTGAATGATGCATGAAAATAAGCATGAAACATGGTTAGCATGTGAATTCGATGACAAGAGGCGGTTGAAGGGGCGGCGGGGGGAAACTCACGAGCTGTTACGCGTGTGCCTGCTCAAGGCGTACAGAGTGAAAGTAGTGAAAGTACAGAGGCGGGCCGCGGCGCCCTACTTTCCGCGGCCAATCAGCGCGCGCTATGGAGTGGCGCTTCGTTTGCGCGCTCGCCGCAGAGAAATGACATTGGCTCTCTGTTCTTCGACGCCAATGTCGCATTTCTCCGCTACGCTTGCGCTAGCAAAAACATGACAGTGGTTCTGGGTCTATGTATTTACATGGCGGTCACCACTGCTTGTTTTTGGGTGAGGAGGAAACGCCCACTAACCCCACCCGAACCCGCAAGCTAGCTTGGGCAGCGCGCACGAAACGAATACATCAATTGCAAACATCTACGCTACATATGAAACATTCCTGATTCCGGGTTAGACATAGTGGTTGCGCATAACACACAGTATGTACATATGGACATGACGGGCAGCTACGACAAGGACGGTCGCACCCACATCAGGACCATCAGCGAGCAGCCCGGCCGGCATGGGTAGAGAACCCTGAGGAACTGGGAGTCGCCTGGAGGACGGTCACCGGACGTCGCAAGTACCGTCGGAGGGCCTGCGAGGACCAGCGGCCGGCCTGGCCGAGCTGCAGCTCCGTCATGCCAACGGCGGCCCCGTGTGAGGCGCCGCCTATGCGCAGACAATGGCCCGAAAGGCGGGCAGCATCCAGTCCGGCCATGCGGCCTGCCCGCCGTAACACGGAGGTGAGAGCGCGGCACGTGATAGGGCGGCGGTTATCACCGATAAACAGCGCATCGAGCGGAAGTCCCGACCCACGCACGCGCAGATAGTCCTCCACGGCAGAGACCGGGCACACGGTGATGTCCGGGCGGCGCGTCAGCTGAGTTGTGAATGGTTCGACGGACGTTTTGGAAGAGGGAATGGTGACTGTGAGAGTGTTATCTCGGAGTGCGACGTTACCAAGACGTAGGTAGTGCTGTTGCTGCCCGCTGCGCAGGACTTCGCTGGGACGAAGAAGAGCAAAAAAACCCAGGGTGAAAATGGCCCTGAACGCTGTCTGCTCGAGAGGGGAAAACCGCAGAGCTGCGACCACCGAGCATAGGCGGCCGAGATCGGATACGGTAATGGCCAGTCTGGAGTCGCCGCCCGGCCGGAGACGGCGGGCACCGGCCAGCACCTGACGCACTCGGAAATCCGCGGTGGGGTCGACAAGACCACGAACTTTGTGGCCGTATGAGATGGCTGAAGATATGCTGACGAGCGTCGCGGAGCCGCAGCCGGCGTCATAACGGTGCGCGAGAAAATCAACCACTTGTGACACCGAGACTGGAAAGAGGTCACGGGGCGCAGGACGGCAGAGGAAGTGTCGAAACTGCGCCCAAGTTGTGCGGTAGGCCTTGATGGTGGCAGGTGCCAGCGCAGCATCAGCTAGCTCGGAGACAATGTCAGGGTGCTGCAGGTCTCCCAGTCCCATGGCGCCGGTGAGTCGTCCGCTTCTGGCCGCAGGCGCCGGAACACCTGAATCAGGCCACGGGACAGGGCATCAGCAGCTGCATTTCGGGAGCCCGGAACATGAACGGCTCGAACGAGAATGTTATTGTGCACGGTGGTCACAAACAAAATGCGCAGCCACTGCATCATATCGGCAGAACGAGACGACTGTGCGTTGATACAGTCGACCACCGCCGAGTTATCAGAACGAACGATCACGCAACGATTTGACATGCGAGCACACCACACACGAACCGCAATCACAACGGCAATAAGCTCTTTGACGCAGATGTCGGCGTGGCGGAGTGGATCGGACCACTCGCCCGTTAGCCAGGCAGACCCGCATATGGCACCAATGCCGACACCGCCGGCGGCGTCGGTCTCCAAGAGAAGGCCCGGGTCGTCATGCCATCGCCGGCCGTCCATCATGGAGCGACCATTGAAGGAAGAGAGAAAGACCAGCCAGGCGCGCATGTCGAGCCGAGCTGCGCGGCTGATAGTCACACGATGGTGAGGCCGCCTCACACCCCGGCAAACATCATACAAACGGCGCAGGAACACTCGGCCCAGAGGCACGGCCAGGCAGGCGAAATTCAATAGGCCGAGACACTCTTGAACTTGTCGAAGAGGGGCCTTCCGGCGCGAGAGAAGGGAAGCGACCATGGCGCGGGTTCGCTCCACTTTGTCATGCGGCAGCCGCAGCTCCCGGGTGTCAAGGTCAAGTTCAACACCGAGGAACTGGAGGGCGCGGCACGGTTCGACCGTTTTGTCGGGACGGAGTGGAATATTCAGCCGTTGGCACATGGCTTGGAAGCCCGTGAGCGAGCGCTGACAGGCAGCCCGTGTTTCACTGATGAACAGGAAGTCATCCAGTACAGAGACAATGTGACCAGCGTGAAATTTCTTGCGAGCAATCCAGACCAGCGCGTCACTAAACATCTGGAAAATTTGCGAGCTACTCGCGCATCCCATGGGCAGAGCCAGGTCAACGTATGCCTCACCTCGCCAACGGAAGCCGAGAGCGGCGCAGTCGTCGGGGTGAACCGGAATGAGACGGAATGCGTTTGCAATGTCGGTTTTCGCCACATACGGCTCGTCAAGGGCAGCCAACAGGCGGACGGCGTCGTCGAGAGAACCGTACTGCACCGTGGAATTTTCCCGCGGGATTTGGTCATTCACAGATGAGCCCGCCGGGTGAGAGAGATGGTGAATGATTCGAAATTCACCTGGCTTTTTTTTGGGGATAATGCCAATGGGAGAAAACTTCTTTATCCACACTGCCGTCGGGTGAAACGGCCCAGCAATGCGACCAGCCCGACGCTCGGTGCGGATATATTCGTCGATGACCTTCGGAGCCAGCTCGCAGGACGGGAGATTGCCGAGCGTATCACCGATAGGCAGCTCGTCGCAGCCGATCGAGAAACCGTCACGAAAACCGGAAACCAATCGGGTAGAAGATGTGACGTCATACCCCGATAGGAATTGCGACAGAAGGGTGTGGGAGACTCCAGTCGGCACGGAGAGAGCGGGCTTGACGTCGTTAGGTTCGCGGGGGCTTAGCAGCCCCGCTGCGGGCGGGCTGTGAGCGGCGCGGGCAGCGGGACAGGCTGTGGTTGCCGCGACAGCCGCGACAGGCGTGCATGTACTGGCACTGGGGACGGGGGCAGCCTGAGGCGCGGTTGTAGGCAAAACACAAGGGCCGAAAGGGCCGGGAAGCAGCGGGTGGTGTTGACGAAGATGGACCGGACCGCTGGCCAGCTATACCCCGGGCGATTGCGTTAAGCCACAGCGGCGAGCTGGCAGCCGTGGCGCCCCAGTGGTGAAGTTCAGGCTGCTGCTCGCGGGCCCGTCGGAACTGTTCGTCGAACTCCCTCCAGGCCAAGCCGAGCCCAGGGGCGTTAAGCGAGCTCACCTGCTGCATATGGGTCAGCAATCCAATCGCATCCGATGGGTGGGCACCCAGGTACACGCCCGCGAACCTCAAAAAAGCCGTGGTCCAAGCTGAAAAGGACGTCACTGTGCGGGAGACGCGGGCCTGCCGGAGGCGACCATCCACCAGGTGGAAGACTCCGGTGGAGTCCACCGGCGCGGGATCGTGGGTGTCCAGAAGGGACCCGAGGTCCACATATCGGTGGCTCACGATATTTTGTCGGAGAGTCGCCGATATCGCCACCTGGTGGACGTTACCTGCGGTGCTGGTGATCGGCGCAGCCGGCGTCGGGAGCTGCTCACTTGTGGTGGGCGCAGCCGCCGCCGCGAGTCGGAGCACCGCGTCCGGCGCCGTTGCAGGGCCGGTGGAGGCCTCGGGCGCGCCGGAGGCCGGTGTCGGTGCAGGGCCGGTGGCAGCCTCGGGCACGCTGGAGGCCGAGGCCAGCGCCGACCGGATCATCCCACTGATCATGTCCTGGAGCTGTGCCGGGTCGACGGAGAGTGTCGGAGCGCCTCTGCCGACGGCTTCTGGTGGCGGGGCGCCCGAGCCCAGTGCGCCGGCGGCGGGCGGCGCTGGGGCCGCCGCGGCACGTGGCGCCGACGCCCTCCGGCCCTCAGCCTCAGCCGAGTGGCGGCGGCTGCGGCTACGGCGGCGCGCGGCGGTTGGGCGCGTGCACGCCCCGCGACACGGGCTGCCTTCGGCATGGTCACTCCGACGCATGAAAACAAAAGACATGCAGGTTAAACATTTTTGCATATATTGACATATAAATGGACTGACTGATATTTATATATACATCTACAAAACATATATTGACAGGAGTCAGGAGCAAGGCAGCAAAATATAATGCGATAGCAAAAAACGTGTGCACTACGTGGTCATATGACGCGGCGACATGTCAGGCTTTACATATGGCGCCAAGTAGACGGGGCAACACACGAGCGCGAGGCAGTGATGGGCTCAGCGTCAGGGATCCAGCTGCCTAACACCGAGCGGCACGGACGAATGCAAATAATGCACGCCATCCCGCTTGAGACGGGTGAACGCCATCGGCACCGAGAAAAGCGTCAGAAGGGACGAATGACACCTGCTGCACCGGGGGACGGAAAAACTTTCGCCTCAAAAAGCGATTGGCCAGCCAACGACGCCGCTGGTATCGCTGGGCAGACACGTCATTTGGGCGAAGTCTGGTCCTGGGGGGCAGCGGCAGAAGAAAAACTGCTTCCACCCCGGCTGCCAGCAGTCCCAGGAGCAGCTCACGTAGCAGGGCAAAGAAGCTACGCAGGCGAAAAACTGGGCGTGCCAGGTCGTTGCTGCCGACCATCAGGAACACGCGCTGTGGCCGACGTAGCACCGCCTCACGTATGGCCCAGCGACGGAACTCGTCGTCCCCCACGCAGGCCCCGCGCCAGCCCGAGGCGGTTATGGAGTCGCCAGCGTCGCAGATGGAGCGGAACCGGTGCGCGTAACTATCGCCGAGCACGAGGAGCATCCTGAAACAAGAATGATGAGCCGGTGACAACGTGCATAACGAAACGACCGCATGATGTGGTTGCAATCAAACAGGAATACGACCCACATACGGGCGAGCACGCCCAGATCGGCAACATTGTTGAAGGCACGGGCGACCACGCCCACACCGAACATGCACGGTCAAGCTACACGGGCGACCACGCCCTAAATGGCAAAGCATGTCTGGAGATACGGGCGACCACGCCCCCGCCGGCAAGGTATGGTCAAAAGCACGCCCAGATCGGCAAACATGGTGGAAGGCACGGGCGACCACGCCCACACCGAACCTGCACGGTCCAGCTACACGGGCGACCACGCCCTAAATGGCAAGGCATGCCTGAATATACGGGCGACCACGCTCAGATCGGCTAGCATGTCGTAAAGCACGGGCGACCACGCCCACACCGAACCTGCACGGTCCAGCTACACGGGCGACCACGCCCTAAATGGCAAAGCATGCCTGAATATACTGGCGACTACGCCCCCGCCGGCAAGGCACGGTCAAAATTAGACGGGCGACCACGCCCAGACCCGCAATGCACGGGCAAATCTAGGCGGACGACCACGCCCACATCGGCAATGCGCGACCATATCTAGCCGGCGACCATGCCTCTACCGGCAATGGACAGCCAATCCCAGAATTCCCAGATGGGCGAACCACGCCCCCAGCCGGCAGTAGACGGATGAACTGAGATAGGCGACCACGCCCGCACCGGCATATAGACGGGCGACCACGCCCAAATAGAATGTATGTGCGAATGCAGGGGCGACCACGCCCACGCCCTGAAGGAACGGCTAATGGACAGCAGATGCAGGCGACCACGCGGGAAACTGCACCCTGCGTATATCATATGTGAGAACCAGACCGATAATTTACGGAACGGCAATCGGCAAAGCCCTGAATAGCGAAGCGACGGATAAGCCCATCTGGTTGCCACGACAGGGGAGATCATTCCAAACGAGGAGGCATTCGGTGAAACAAAAACACTCATGCCACCGCCGCTCGGCCGCACTCCATCAAGCCGCGCCAAGTGTTACAGCTGGAACCCGGAAATGTCCAACCATGGGTGGGATTTGAAGCCAGGCGCTGCGGTTACTGCGCGTAAGCTAGCCACCACCACGCGGCCGCCGGGAGATAACCGTGCACCGGGTGGCTGTGTCCGCCAGTGGGCCAGCGGCACCCTTAGACAATGCGCCCGGGGCCCGCAAGGTGGCACTGCGGGCGCCAGACGAACTGGGTCGTTGACCGGACGCGACAGAAGGGGAGTCGAGAACAAAGGAACCAGCCCGGAGCCACCCGGGAAGCGCCCGACTGTGAGACAATGAACGCGGCGATCCTCAGAAAAGGGGTAGCATAACTGACGGTGCCGTTCTGAGCGATTGAGCAGGGACACGCAATACGCAAATGCAGCCGCTGACGGGTATGCGGGATGAGTATGTCTATTCGCACACCGGCGGCAAAGTGCTACAGACGTGCGTGCCGACCAGCGACATATAAAAAGGGGGCTAAGAAGGAGCACCTGGCGGAGAATTAAACTCCTCACCAATCGCTCACCTGATGTCCTGCTTCGCGTTGTGATGCAGCACTTCAACGCTAGGGACGACCCCGTCCCACGACCAGGACGACGTCACGGATTTGTGCAGCGAAAACTCACGAGCTGTTACGCGTGTGCCTGCTCAAGGCGTACAGAGTGAAAGTAGTGAAAGTACAGAGGCGGGCCGCGGCGCCCTACTTTCCGCGGCCAATCAGCGCGCGCTATGGAGTGGCGCTTCGTTTGCGCGCTCGCCGCAGAGAAATGACATTGGCTCTCTGTTCTTCGACGCCAATGTCGCATTTCTGGCTGCGTCCTTGACTTGTTGACATTAATTTTCCGACTTGAATTTCTCTCAGATATAATCTAGGGTGTGAGATCTTGGGAGCTCTGCATTGTCCTCAATTAGTCCTCGCAGTCCGCCATAATTCGACAGGCACCGCCTTCTAAAACTTCAGCACCTTCGAAGACTTCCCTACAATTTTATGCAACTTCTAAACGTTCCACTAAATGCATAGGATTTCTCAGCTCGAACTGCATCTGAAACACAGCCCTTTTTTACATTCATCGCATCTTACTTTGGTCATTTTGACATGACCCTGACCCGACCTTCACTACACGCTTAATCTGCTGGAAAACTTTACTGTACATACCTGGGTATACCTTTACAGTACCTTTACAGGGTTTACCTTACAGTATTCCTATCCGGTCGCTTTATGGAAAATGGCCTAGTTACGTGCGGGTCGAAAACAGTCTTATATTCCATTTTCTATGAAATGGATAGCGATTCCGACTCATCCATTGAGGGCTTTGACCCCAGCAGCGGAAACTGGGTCACTGCAAACGGCAAGAAACCCTCCAACAGAATAATAGACACATCAGTAAGTCCTACCCATAACTCATGCCGCAAGCCAGTTCCTGTACCTGGGGCCAGTAAATCTGGCCAAGAAACTACAATATCGCAAAATTCCAGTAACCGACCTACATGCCCACTCTGTGGAAAAACCGGCACCAGGAAGCGGTACATGCAATGTGCCATCTGCAGTCGTCACTGGCACATGTCATGTGTCCGTCTCAACAGGGCGCAGGCGAACGCGCTCCACCGCTGGTGGTGCCCGGACTGCGTCAAGGACGGCTTCGAGACTCCATCCAGCCCGGAGCCAGACCCCAGTCAGCCGTCCACTCTGACAGCGCCGCAACAGCCGGAGCCTGACGTAGACCTTTACCGGGGTTACATGAGCAAGTAAATGCGTATCAGGAACGGATTTTCCTATTCGCTCACCATTGTAGTCCGTTTGTAATGCGTATTAGCTCTGCTCATGTAACCCCGAGCCTTGGGCTCACCCTGACCGGCCTCAGGCGCTCCCGTCCAGTAGTGCGGAGAATTCCCAAGGGAGCCCGGATCCCCGCAGCGGACGCGCTGGCGACTCTGATAGAGAAGGCCGTCATAAGCAGCGAGGTGGGGCCGTGGAGCAAACTTATGCGATTTCCGTATGAAGCATTAAGTGCGAGAGAAGGGGCTAATAACAAGTCCAGTCTCACCGCGAAAATAAAACGACAGGTAATCGCTTATATCGACGAACGGACTGACCCATCCGAAACGGATTCCCATCACTACGACGAGACGTCTCTGAATGCGCCGAAAACTGTCGCCAAAGACCGAACAAAGAAGGACAGGTCGAGCGAAAAATGGAAGAACGCTGTGGAGTCAAAGCTGTCAGACGGAGACGTGAAAGGAGCTATCCGGCTTCACTCCTCCGCTAATGCGGTTGCCCAAACACGAGTAAGACCACCGACGCCCTGCGAGCGAAACATCCACCAGCCCCTGAAGACATCTGCCTGCCATCACCTCCGGACGACACGACTCAGCCGCTGCTAGCTTCCTGTGCTGATGTCCAAGCAGCAGTAAAGTCATTCAGCACGAGCTCCAGCGCGGGACTGGACGGACTCAGTCCGTCTCATCTCCAGGATCTGGCGGGCTACACATGCGGGGAGGCCGGCAGAAGGCTCATCACTGCTCTGACCCGCTTGGTGAATCTGGCCCTGAGCGGAGACATTCCCCCCACAGCCCGAGAGGTCTTTTTTACCGCTTCTCTGCTGGCCCTTGAGAAACCATGCGGTGGTATCAGACCTATAGCCGTCGGCTCACCGTACCGCAGACTCGCCACCGAGGTAGCGATTCGGCCTCTATGTTCAGAACTCGGAGAGAAGCTGCGGCCCGTCCAGCTGGGCTTTGGAACAACCGGAGGATGCGAAGCTGTCGCACACGCCACCTGACATTACGTCAAGCTCCTCAATGAAGAGGAAGTCGTAGTGAAGATCGACATGCGAAATGCTTTTTACAGCATTCGCCGCGACCACTTCTTGGCCGTGGTGAGAGACAGCGCACCCTCCTTGTACCCGCTCCTGTGGCAAGCTTATTCGTCACCTACGCCTCTCTACCATGGCACTGCGAAGATTATGTCGGCCGCCGGCGTGCAGCAAGGCGATCCATCCGGTCCTGCAGTCTTCGCCCTGGCAACTCATAGCATCGTTAGCTCCGCTACATGCTCTATGAATACCTGGTTTTTAGACGATGGCACCCTGGGAGGGAACAGCGCCGACGTATATTCTGACCTGAAGAAACTCATCCCAGCGATGGCCAGAGTCGGACTGCAAGTAAACCCTTCCAAGTGCCAGATCATCGTGCCAACCATCGAAAACAAAGGAGAAGCCATCATCAGCCAACTCCACCACATCATTCCAGGTGCATCTGTCCTGTCAGAGGATGAACAGACTGTCCTGGGAGCGCCACTGACGGCAGCCGCTGCATAGCTCTCAGCACAGGACAAAATGGAGGACCTCGTGCGGATGGTCGGGCGGCTGAAGAGACTCGATGCTCATTCTGCGCTCTACCTGCTCCGCAACAGTCTATGGCTCCCCAAGCTGCAGTACTTGTTGCGGGCTGCGCCATTTTTCCAGCATCCTGCGCTGCTGAAACAGCTAGATGAGGTCATCAGAGCGGCGATGGAAGAGCTAGTGAATGTCAGATTCAGCGACATGAACTGGGAACAGGCCGTCCTACCTACCGGACTCGGAGGGCTAGGACTGAGGAGAACGGAGGAAGTCGCGCTCCCGAGCTTCATCGCCTCGCTTCATCGCTGCCAGCAGCTGCTTCATACCATCCTGCCGGCAAGCTTCGCGGACGAAATCTTAAACGAGCTGAAGCAGGCAGAAGAGGAGTGGCTCGTAAAAGCTGGCGGCAGATGGCTCCTGCAGACGACACACGCGAACGACAGAAATCTTGGGACGCCCCGATCGCCGAGCACCAAAGAGACCGCCTTCTGCTCGAAGCCAACCAATTCGATCGTGCTCGTATCCTCGGCGCAGCGACGTCTTAAAGCGGAGCATGGCTCAGAGCTCTCCCGTCTTCTAGTATGGGCACCCACCTGGACAACGAGACAGTGAGAATCGCAGTCGCTCTACGTGTCGGCGCCGACGTTTGCAGCGGCATCCACGCCTGCAGGTGCGGCTCGCCGGCCGACGTCAAGGGGCACCACGCTCTTACCTGTCGGTTCAGTGCTGGAAGATTGCCGCGCCACACAGCACTGAACGACATAGTCAGACGTGCCCTGCTGACCGCAGGCATAACAGCTCAGCTCGAGCCGTACGGTGTCGACCGGGGCGACGGAAAGAGGCCAGACGGCATGACCATCTACCCATTCTCACATGGCCGTTGCCTAGTTTGGGATGCGACATGTGCGAACACATTCGCAGACTCAAGACTGGGAGGTGCCGCGCTGAAGTCTGGGGCGGCGGCCAAGAAAGCAGAAGACGAGAAGCGCCGAAAGTACGCCCGGCTCACCCAGCGTTTCAGGTTCGAGCCAGTTGCATTTGAAACAGACGGCGACTGTGGTCCTACGACCAAAACCTTCCTCCAGGAACTTGGTGCTAAAATGGCGGCGGTCAGCGGTGACAAGCGAGAGATGGAGTGGCTTTGGCAGCGACTCTCCATCGCCGTTGTGAGAGGTAACGCCGCTTCAGTTCTCTTGGGGTGTGCCACTGACCCGTCCCAACAACACCTCAGCGCCGAGCGCCCCAACAGGGTGAGCGCTGAGCAACAGCTGGCGACGGCGGCCGGCTCGAGGCGGTCTGGCTGCTCGGGTGGTTCCCGGTTAGTGGCAAGCCAGCAGATGTGGTCGCCGCCGTCGCCGAAGAAGTTGGAGGAGAGCAAGGCGTTGCAGCTGTATGGCGGCAAGGCGCACACGGCTCGCGAGCTACAGCTGACCCCAGCCATCAGACCCGCAGGCAAACACGGCAAAGATCCGCTCTACACCGGACTTCCCAATTACGGTAACTCATGTTACCAGAACGCCACCCTGCAGTCACTGCTAGGACTGTGTCCGTTCTTGAACCACATGATAGCGTTGCAGTCGGGCCCGGAGAGTGACCAGTGTCGCACGCTGCACGCCGCCGCCAAGCTGATGGTGCTCCGCCAGAAGGCCCTCAGCAATGGCGTCTCCAGTCACCTCAGCGACCTGCGTGCGGTGCTTGGCGACATCGACCCAGCGTTTCGCGGTACTGAGAGGCAGGACGCCAACGAGTTCCTGCTGCGCCTTCTGGACACGATTAAGGACGAGATCGACACCCGCCAGCTGTCTGCAAATCCCGTCCGAGACAATTTTCAGTACCAAACCATGACGAACTTCATGTGCACCAGGTGTCACAAAACGGTGCCGAAGCTGCAAGAAAGCATCACCTGGTTCGTGAAGATGCCGCATCGCCAGGGTAGCGAGGTGCCAACGCTGCACGATGCGCTTCGATCGAGCATGCAACCATAACAGCGGGAGTTGCTCTGCCAGCACTGTGGCCATGACGAGCGCCGAGTCACCACCAAAGTCAGTCAGCTGCCCAGGACGCTGATCCTGCAGCTGAACCGATTCATCTTCCAAGGCGATGAGTCCAAGAAGATCCAGGCCAACGTAAACATCCCAAAGCTCCTGTCGCTCAACGAGTACGTGGCAGACGATGTCAAACGGCCGCCAGAGTGGAGATGCAAGAAGTCACCAATACGCAACGTGTCAGACTTCCATAAGCAGACCAGGCTGGAGCGACTGTCTGTTCCCTTGTTGCCGCCTCCTGCGCTGGCGCCGCTCTCAACCGCCC